TGTTCTGTATTTTGTGGTACATGAGAACCTCTGCTGTGCAATGATTTAGATTTGGAAAATCTTATAAAACCAAGCCAGTAAGAAACGTTGTAGGGAGGCTGATATTTCTCCTTATATCTTTGACAAAGATATGTTATATTCTGATCATTTAAAAATTAATCAGGATCACTGAGTTAGAATGGGTATTTTTCCATTTGGCTATGAATTGCTTTTCTACCTTAAATGTTTTACACTTTCCAGTTACTTGCAAAAAGAAAAAAGCATTGTTAGAAATATCTTCAAAAATTATCAATGATAACACATATATGCAAATCAACCCAGAAATAGTTTCCTGGCACTCCTGCAACAAATGACCACAATTTTAGTGGTATCTTTGGAGGTAGTCAGGTCTGGACACAAGAAAAGCCAGAAAACTCTGTTGTATTGGCACTTTGGAAGACAAATGTGACACCTAGTAAGCAGGGAAAAATACTGCCTGGTATATAACCTTACATGCAGTTACAGGATAGTGGTCTCAGTGCACAAACATTAATCAAAGGATATACAGATCTGTAATATCTAATACAGATTCTGAATGTGACTTACCTATAACATAAGCAATATACTTCATCTAATATTGTGCAAGAATCCTTTGTGATTGCACAGTCCTATGCTCTGGTGATTGGTAATTCGATATTGAAGAAATATGAAAATTAGTTTTCACTTTATGTATCTTCAGCAAATATTTGCATTAAGTTTGATTTTTTGCTAATTACAAAAATCTAAGGAGAAAATTATATAAACATAAGTTATATGTGGTACTTATGTTTATACACGGTGTATAAACAAATACTACATGTATATCTAGCTATCGGCCTGTCATTATACATACATACATATATATATATATATATATAATTTGGTTAGCAAACCCAAATCCAACAGAAGGAAAGAAATAATGACAATGAAACAACAATATAAAGAAAATAAAACAAAGAGATGGTTCTCTGAAAAGATAAATATGGAAAGCCCCTTAGCCAAGCTAATAAAAAAAGTCTCAAATTAAAATCATAGATGAAAAAGGTGATATTAAAGTAGATACTACTGAAATCCAGAGGATTATTAGGCACTATTATGAAAACTTATTTTCCTACAAGTTGTAAAAGCAAGAAGAAATGAAAACATTTCTAGACACAAATGACCTACCAAAATTGAACAAAGGGGATATAAAAATATTAATAAATTTATAATAAGCAATGAGATTGAACCGGTAATAAAAAGTATCCCACAAAAGACAAACCAATGACTGCATGGATTTACTGCTGGATTTTACCACACCTTTAAAGAAAAACTAACACTGATGTTTTTTAGGCTAGGCTGAGAAATAGAAATGGAAGGGGAAAATGTTTCCAAAGTCATTCTGCAAAGCTATTATCCCACTGATACCAAAATCAGATAAAGATCCAAAAAGAAAATTATAGATCCATATCCTTATTAACATATACACAAAAATCATTAATAAGATTCTTGAAAACAGAATCCAGCACATCAAAAAGATCACAAACCATCACCAAGGCTTCATCTCAGGAATGTAAGGATGATTCAACCCATTTAAACCAATAAATGTAATATATTACATAAGAGACTCAAGGATTTTAAAAAATCATCTCAATAGATGCAGGAAAAAAAAACACTGAGAAAATTCAACATCCTTTCATGATAAAATCCCTGAAGAAAATGAGTACAGAAGGATCATTCCTGAATATAATTAAGGCTATATAAGACAAATCCACCACCAACATTATACAGAATGGAGAAAAACTGAAAGTATTTCCTCTAAAATTGGGAGTGAGACAAAGCTTTTCACTCTCATTGTTTCTGTTCTATATAGTACTTGAAGTTCTAGCCAGTGCAGTAAGCAAAAGAAAGAAATAAAATGGATACAAATAGAAAAAAAAAGTCAAATTTTCTCTATTTGTTGGCAAATTTTCTCTATTTTCTCTACTTAGAAGACCATAAAAACCATATCAGGAGACTTCTAGATCTGGTAAATGCAGCAAAGTGACAGCATACAAAATGAATACACAAAAATCAATAGCTTTTCTAGACAACAGAAAGGCACCCACTGAGAAAAAAAATCAGAAAAATAATTTCATTCACAATACTTTTAAGAAATGAAAGGAATAAGCCTAATCCAGGAGGTGAAAGAATTCTTGGATGAAAAGTACAGAACAAGGAAGAAAAAAATTGAAGAAGACACAAGAAGATGGGAAGAACTCAGATTCATGGATCAGAAGAACTAGCATTGTTAAAATAGACATATTATGGAAAGGGATCTACAGATTCAATGAATATTCAAATGATACTCTTCACTTTACTAAGAAATACAGTGCTAAAATTTATATGGAATCACAAAAGACCTTGAGCAGCTGAAGCAATCTTGAGCATAAACAGCAGTGCTGGAGACATCACAACATCCAATTTTTAAATTGCACTACAAAGCTACAGTCAACAAAAACAGCATACTACTGGCACAAAAATAGATGTATAGACCAATGAAATAGCATAGAGGATGTGAAAACAAAACCACACAACCACAGCCAACTGACTCTTCACCAAAAGATCAAAGACATGCCCTGAAAAACAGATAGTTTCTTTAACAACCATTCCTAAGAAAACTGGATATTAATACATAAGAATATTGAAACTAGATTCCTATCTCTCACCTATCTCTCACCTTAAAAATCAATTCAAAACAGACCAAAGACTGGTGTATGAGGCCTGAAACTTTTAAATTGATAGAAGAAAACAAAGGACTAACAATTAAGTTATAGACACAGGCAAAGACTTCCTGATTAGAAAACAATAAATTTAGAAGTAAAACTACGTCAAATCAAAACGCTTTTGGACATTAAAGGAAACAATTAACAAGGTAAAGAGACAGGCTACAGAATGAGAGAAATCTTTGCCAGTTGCTCCTCTAACAGAAGATTAATGTCCAGAGTATGTAAAGAACTAAAAAACTTAAAACAAAAGAAGTCTAATTTAGGAAATAAGCAAAACAATTGAACAGATACTTCTGAAAAAACTACAAATGGCCAATAAGTATACAAAAAAATATTCAACATCTTTTGCCATGAGGCAAATAAAAATCAAAATTATATTGAGATTCCCTCTCACCCTCATCAGAATGACTATCATCAAAAAAGGTGTTAAGCGTTGATGAAGATGCAGGAAAAAATACTCTTCCATACTGTTAGCCAGAATGCAATTTAATAGAGCTTTTATGGAAATCAGTATGGAGATGCCTTGAAAAATTAAAAATAAAGCTACTGTTTGATCCAGTAATGCCACTCGATATATTCTGAAAGACTTAGAGGCAACATATTATGGAAATATTTGTATAACCATGTTTATTGCAGCATAAATTCACAAGCACTGTTATGAAAATGATCCAAATACCTATTATCAGATGAATGAATAAAGAAAATTTGTATATACACAATGGAATATTATTCAGCTATAGGAAAGAGTAAAATCCCATTGTTTTCAGAAAAATGGGTGGAATTGAAGATCATTATATTAAGTGAAACAACCCAGACTCAAAAGTCAAATATTGCATATTTTCTCATATGAAGAATCTAGAAAAAATTAATTTAAAAAATAATGATGAAATAGGAAGAAAAGGTCCAAAAGGGTAGGGAAAGTGGGAGGGGAAGGGGAAAGGAAAGAAGGGAAAGGAAAAATTATAACAAAAGGAAAAAATGGAAATAAAGTCTTTGTAAATAGGGAAGGGTGGAGGGGGTGAAAGGAGGACAGGGAATGGGGAAAACATAAGAACCAAGATGCATCATGTACAGGTACAAGATCCCAATGTTGAATGTAACTGTATTTTATACCCAAATTGTACCAGTAAAAGAATTTAAGGGCCGGGGATTTAGCTCAGTGGTTCTGGAGCCTGCCTCGCAAGCGCAAGGTCCCAAGTTCAATCCCCAGTACAAAAAAAAAAAAAAAAAAAAGAATTTAAGGAAAAAAATAATGACGATTTGAAAATATGAGAAACTATTAGAGAAGAGGAAGAAGATCTAGGGAGGGAGGAGGAAAGGGAAAAGGACTGATGAGGAGGATGACCAATGAATATTATATACACGTATGAATATAACAAAACATAACCCGCTGTTCTATGTAACTAGTATGTACTACTAAAAAAGAACAAGGTTGAAATCACTGATTCGTCTCCTAAAATTTCCTGTAAAATATATAACTAGGGAATTACATTCAATAAATCATCATAAATGATTATGAAAATTAAGTTTATTTTATTTTTCCAAAATTATTAATTTCATAGAGCTTTCTATATTAAATATGAGAAAATTAGTTTTCTTTGTGACAAAGTATATATGATCATTTTTGTAACACTAACATCTTTCAAGAAAATTTTATGAAATATATTCTGGATGCTGCTGTATATCTACTGAAAGAAATTATTTTAGAAAATCAATGTGAAGGTAAAAATATTTTACTCCACCTCTAATAACAGTCCAACATCCTACTCTGACAAAATAAGAAATTAAAATTTAAAGAGAACAGCAAAATATAAACACGATAATCAGGAGTCTTCTGTGATTTTTTTCTTTGAAGGCATATAGGTCTCCAAAGCATGTAGCTCATTGAAGACTCATGAAAAACATTCTAACTAGAAGGGCTCTTTAGGTATTGAGTAAAAAATGTAAAGCTTTCAAGAATATCAGTGGTTCCTGTTATAATTCAGAGAAGTCCAAAGAATGTAGTACAAGAGATTGTAAAAATTTTTACGACTTTATTTCTTATAGTAGTTTTAGGTTCACAGAAAAAATAAAAAATAAATATTTCCATATACTGCCAGACCTACATATGAGTTACCTCTTCCTTATTTACATACATGTTTTACCTGTGTTGTTACAACTGATAAACCTACACTGATACTGTAGTCCCTGGAAATCCTTTAAAACAGAATATTCTCTCTCTCTCTCTCCTTTCAGGATTACAGAGTAAATATCTTTCTTCGACAGAAATGGAATGATCCTCGTCTTGCATATAGTGAATACCCTGATGATTCTTTAGATCTCGACCCATCCATGTTGGACTCCATTTGGAAACCTGATTTGTTCTTTGCCAATGAAAAGGGAGCCAATTTTCATGAAGTTACTACAGATAACAAACTGCTAAGAATTTTCAAAAATGGAAATGTTCTTTACTCAATAAGGTAAGTCACACTTAAAATCTTAATTCCAATGAAACAGTAGTGTGAGGTTTTTTACTATTTTTTTTTTAAATGTAATTCACCTGTAAAAAACAAGAAGTCAGTAGCAGAATTCATGTCATCTTTCTTAGAACAGACAGAACGTGCTCTGTTTACAGCAAAAGGCAACTTTTAAAATATTTATAACACCAGTAACATGTTTTAGAAGGATTCAAGGTAGGGTTATTATTTAGGCTGTAGGCTTACAATTAACTAGTGTTTTGTTTTTCTCTTTCTCTTTTGTTAACTTTCCTTCTTATTGGGACTGTATTTGATTTTGACATTATTTGCCTAATATCAAAGATGTTGCTATTTTGCCAAGTGATAATATAAAACAAATTAGTAAGAATGAAAATTTAATTTTAATACATTTACTATTTTGAGAAATTTCTTTTGCAGAGTGGTTTTATAAATAACGTTTTATTCTACTCTTATTTCTATCTCTTCATTCCAACATAGTATGCCAGCTTTTTAGTTTTAATATTTCATGTGAATGTGTTTACTTTTAATGTACTTACTGCTTCCTAACAGTGACAGGGTGATATCACTCTGTGGTGAACTGACATTTTAATCAGATTTCTGAAAGCCAACAAATATATGTTAATATAATCTTGTGTGAGTAATTGGGAACATAAAGGGAGATTTCATGTCCTACCACTTATTAAGACCTGTATCTCATACAGATGAATAACTTAATAGCGATGCTTGAGTCTAAGCAAAAGAATATTAAAACTTTTTGGAAAAGTAATCAAAAAATAAGTACCATGGTAAAAATTTGGTTTCTGGGAAGGTAGAGAAGATACACATGCTCATATTGTACCTAAGTAAGACTAAAACCCATGGACACAGAGCCTAGGACAACTCTCAAACCTGGACAAGGAAAGTGCTGGCTAAAGACATTGGAACCTGAGGAACAATACAGAGGTGAATTCCTAGGATTTTCTTTGTTCCTCATATATTCCAGGATCTAACAGGCTGAAGAAGTCAGTAAGTATAGACAGAAAAAAAGTCTAAGGAAAAGTCTTATTTCTGTAGCCAAGCTAACACTGTGTTAGGAAAAGGGCAACCTAGCAAGAGAGGAGACCTTTAAACAATTGCTCTATTTCAGCTAAACACTGCTGGACAAAAGTTTGACCCCACCTCAAGTTCACACCCAAGCCCTCAAAGCTCAAGTGGGAAGCCCAGGCTTCCAGTCTTGCTAAGCTGTGACAAGGTAGCCAATCCCTGAGCAGTGGTGTTGTCATGGAGAGATAAACAGGGACCTGAACTTTCATCCCCACCAGCTTGTAGTGAGCCTCCCATCTGCAATGTCCATAAGGACCTTGTGGAAATCCAGCCTCACCCTACAGAAATGAGGTGCCCCCTCCTTCCATTGTGGGTAGTTTCAGAGTCACCTACTGGAGAGTCGGAACTTTCAAACCATCCAGCAGTAATAAGATCCCTCCTACTCCAGTGTCAGTGGAGACCATGTGGGGAGCTGGAACATCTCAAATTCCTAGGAGCCTCTTCTCATATGTCAAATCTGATGCTGACTAGGAAACCTTGATTTCTTCTACCTTGAAGTAACAAGGTGTACCCCTCCTTTGTCTTGATGGAGCAGTGGCACAAAAATCTAATCAAAATAGAAAGTTTAGATAAGATTTAGGATTTAAGAAAATAATATCAAAAGAAAAATCTGGGCTTCAGTGAAAAAGACCTGAAGGTCTCAAACTGACAAAAGACAGCCAATGGATGCTAACATGAAAATGACAAAGATATTCTTTGACAACAACTTTAAAGTAGCCTTGATAAAAAGGTTTCAATGAGTACTTACAAATATGCTTGCTATAAATAAATAATTGGGAAACTTCAGGAAAGAAATATAAGCTAAATAGTCAAGATAAATGAAAATTTTAGAACTTAAAAATGCAATATTCAAAATGCAAATTCGGTGGATGGGCTCTGAATAACAGAGGGAGAATTTACAGAAAAAAAATGAGTGATCCATAAGATAGAATATTAACAATTACCCAGTCTCAACAACAGAGAAATTACAGATTGAGCCAATGAGGACACAGTCTCAGGGACCTATGACAACATGACAAAAGATAAACATTTGCTTCATCAGATCTCAGGCAAGGAGGGAAAGGGGGATGGATGAAAGAAGGAAAAAGAGAGGTTGAGGGAGGGAGGGAAGGAACGAATCAATGCATAAACAAAGGAAAGAAGAAAAGAAGGAAGAGAGAAATGAAATTGTAGGAAATAATGTCTGAAATGTGTGTAAGTTTTACAAATGGCCTAAACTTGCAGATTCAAGAAGCTGAATCCACGAACAGGACAACTCAAAGCTATCCATAACAAGACACATAATACATAAGCTTCAGGAAACTAAAAATTTATAAAACCATCCAAAGAATGACGTTTTACTTATAGAGGAAAAGCAATTAAAGATAACCAACTTTTCATCAGAAACCATGGGAGCCACATATTTTATCAAAAATTATGGAGGCCCATACCAAGTAAGACATAGTTTCCAGGTGCTTAGAGAAAGGATCTGTCTCCTAGAATCTTGTACAGAGTAAAAATATCCCTCAAGAATGAAAATAAACTCAAGACATTCTTCAATAAAGGAAAACTAAGAGAATTTATTACAAAGAAACCTATCCTGAAAATATAGCTAAAAAATTTTCTTAACAGAAAGAAAATGATAAAAGAAGAAACAGATATCAAGAAAAAGAAAAAATTGTGCTCACTTCGGCAGCACATATACTAAGAAAAAGGAAAAATATGGATAAAAACAATATATTTTTATTCTCATCTTGAGTTTTTACATTATTCTTGACAACTGAAGCAAAAATTAAAACACTGATATGGGGGAAATGAAAGTAACAAATAATGAAATATTTTTATAAATAGATTGACAAAAATTAACAAGACTAGTTAATATTTAATGTTGTGTACTATACATTTTATGAGCATAAGACTTGGTATTAACTGGAAAGACCATCTGCTAAGAGATAGTTTAAGAGACATATTTTATGATTTTGTATTTAAAACATTTCTATATATGTAAGTCTGTGTACATAAAAATTCATGTGCAGTCATGCATCATATAATGATATTTTTGTCAGTGATAGGCCACATTTATGCTAGTGATCCCATAAGACAATGAAACTGAATTTTCATTGCCTAGTGACAGAGTAGTTATTATACGATCATTGCAAAATACACTGCTCCTATGATTGTGGAGACATTGGTGTAAACAAACCTACCACACTGACAATTGTATAAAAGTATAAAAGTATAGCACACACAATTAATTATGTCCAGCAGCTGTGTGTGTGTGTGTGTGTGTGTGTGCATGTGTGTGTGTTGGATAATGGGTATTTGTCTATAAATCTTATTGGAGTTGGAAAATGTCAACAATAAGACTGGACTACTAAGGTTTTAAACAGAATAGAATACAAAAGCTAAAGGACTTTCAGTGTGGAGTTCATGTCAACAATATTTCTTCAAAACTCAAAGCAATCAACCCAGTCCTTCTTAAAGATCTGTGAAAATAATTAATCTTTTAATTAAGGAGATTGTATAATATCAAGATTACCACTGTTCTGAAACTAAGTGCTCCTGATTCAAATGCATTATATTAATGATTACTAAAGATTATTTATTACATTTAAAAGTTAAATAATTTCTCTATGATTAGTGAAGCCTTGTTACTATGTCTCTTGGAAATGTTCAAGTGTCTTCTGCTTCAAAACAGAAGGATAAAATTCAATTTATGCCTTTTGTAAATGATGCCATCCATTATGAGTAGCTCATATTTCTTCTAATATTTGGGGGAAGCTATGGAATAATTCAGAAATGCATCTCTTTTTCAGTATGAATTCAGGTGAAACAGACGGTTTCTTAACTCCTAGACTTTGCTATTTCCTGGCTCACATGATCAAAGAAAAAAATCAGTTTTTGTAAGTTGTTTTTGGACATCTCACAGGGCTTTGAAATTTTCAAATGGATCAAATCTTCAGTTTCTTTGTTAACAAAAATGGTGCTTGAAAAATAGTCTGGTTCAATTTAAAAATGGAGCATCTGTGGTGTTTCATGTGAGATCTGGCTTTCTTGTTTGTTTATAAAGAAAGAAGAAGCAGAATGTTCTGGCAAGTGTGACCTATTGAACTTAAGTGTCCATCTGTATTTCCTCTTTAATCCCACTAAAACAATGAAATGAACTGAATAAGGGATAAAAATGGCATTGATATAGAGGAAAATGAAAGTAATGGAAAAGAAATAAACAACAGACAAGTGATGACAACTTACTTTAGGAAGCTTGAAAATGAGTATGTTTGTGAAAGCTGACCTAACCCATATAGCAGAAACCTAAGCCAAAGTGAGTGAACCCCAGAAAGCAAAAAATTAATGACTATTTTCAGACTTCCAGAAATGTGAGGCAGCTAAAACCTATGAAATTGGGAACTAAGAGCTTTTAGGAAAAAAAGAGAATTGATTTAAACTTTATAAGAACAGTGAACTCGCTGGTTGATTCCCTTGCTCATCCTTTTCAGCCCAACAACTGCCTTTTTGCCCTCTGACCTGGGCAGAAAATGTCAAAAAGTGTCTCCAAGAACTTCAGGAGCCAGGACTCCAGGCACAATTAGCGCCTGTCATGGGGCATTATAGGAAGAAAATGAAGACGATAGGAGGGCGTAGATCTTGGCAACTCTGTAATGATGAAAGCCAGACCTAAACTTCCACTGAGCAGCAGACAGAAAAATATCTCTCTAGAGAAAGAAACTAACTTACCCAAGAGAAAAGATCTACAGATGCTGACAACTGAAGATTTTACTATCATCTCATTGTACAGTGAAGACCATTACTCAATAAATATTTGCTGCAAATTGAGATCCACATAGTTTTTGGTGCCTTCTTATAAACAGACATTTGAGAAAACTCTATCATTCTTTTAAAACAAAGATCAGAAAAACACA